CGCGCTCCCGCTTCCTTATCTGCCCGCGGGCGGAGGTGCGAACAGGAAGCCATTCGCGCCGCGCCCCTCCGCGGCTCCCGGACCTTCCCGGGGAGTTCCGAGGCCCCCGTGGTGGTGGCTGAGAGCCCGCCGCCCGCCCGCACGCACTCCCCCGCGCTGCCCGCAGCCGGTAGACACGGCCCCTTAATAAACACCGGAAACCTCCGCGGCTGCAGCGTCCTGATGCGCGGACGCCGCAGGCCCACGGGACAGGCGGCGGGGCAGGGTCCCGGGAGGCGCAGCCGGGCCGCAGTGGCAGCGTGGGCCTGCCGTCAGCGCGTTCGGCGGCGCAGAGGGCGGGGGGCACCCAGGCGCTAAGGAAGCGTCGGGAAGCCTGCGGGCCTGCGGCCGGGGAGGTGGAGAGAAAATCGCCCTCCAGAGTGCTGGAAATGCAAATCCTCGCCCCGCGCACGCCTGTCACCCCAGCTCTGGAGGCTGAGGCAGGGGAGTTGCCTAGGCAACTTGGCAAGACGCTGTCTCCCAGTAAAAAGGGCCGGGAATGCAGCTCAATGTGAAAGCCCTGGGTTGCAGCGCTAGCGCCAAAACCGAACAAAAAACGACAGACAAAAACAAAAAGAAAAATGCAAATCCCGTTGTGCCCTGCTAGAAATGAGTTCAGTGAGAAGATGCTGGGCTCTTCCTTCTACGCAGACTCCAGGAAACAGCAAATGGCCATCAAGGGAAAAACTAAAATCGCAGCGAGGCCCGCAGCCCACCCCCTCCCGGGTCACCCTGGCCACATCCCGCCGCGGCGGGGTGAGTCATGGGGTCTGGCTGGCAGCGCCACCTCAGGCAGGCAGGCAAGGGACAAAGCGCAGTTTCCGGGATGCGGAAGCCGGGGCCAGAGACGCTCCCTGCAGGAAACACTTGGCCGCTTGGCCAGGCCCTGCAGGCCGGGCGTGGTGAGAGTGGCCTGGACGGGACAGTGGGGGCGGGGCAAGGAAGCAGTGACGACCCTGGCGCTCAGCCTGCCGCTCTGAGCTCAGTGTCTTTGGGAGCCGTGAGTGCTGGCCAGGCCTGACCTGGGGTCCGCACCCACACACCCCGGGATTCCCACGCCCATCTATCCGTCTGCCTCCATTTTCTCATCCAAGAAGTGGGAATTGTAATAATGGTAATGTAAAACCCAAGCACATTATACACGCCTGTCCTCCCAGCACTCTAGGAGGCTGAGGCAGCAGGATCCTGAGTTCAAACCCAGCCTGGACAACTTAGTGAGACCCTGTCTCAAAATAAATGAAAAGGCCTGGGGATGCAGCTCAGCGGAAGGCTCTGGGTCTCATCCTCTGTGCCCCTTGCTACAAAAAGTATCGGCAACAGCAATAATCAGCATTCTGATCTCCACAGACACGGGGGTCCAGGCAGGGCCCCTCCACCTCCTCCCACCGTCCGCTCCAAGGCTCTGCAGTGCATCTTCCGCCGACCACCTCAGGGGCTGGGCCTCTGCCTGCAGCCTGGCTGCATGCCCGGCCAGGCCCCTGCCCTGCAGCTGTGTGCGTCCCTGCGGGCCCTGGGCAGACCCAGCCCCGTCGCCTTTGGGGAGCCCTGGCAGGTCCCTGACCTGGGTGGCTTCCTGTGCCTCTATTAATAACTCCTGCTTCCCACAAACACCTCACCCTTCTTGGAAAGAGGAGCCGGAGCCAAGGGCTGGGTTCTGCGGGTGCCAGGCCTGGAGGAGACGGGCAGACCAGGCAGGCAGCTACCCAGCAGCACCCCACCCACTGGTGGCTGCCCCTCGCCCTGCCGGGGACTCTGGGGTGCCCAGTCGGCCAGCACTGGCCAGTGACCCGCCCGCCCAGGACCCTCAGCTTTGCTTTCCTCCCCAGACTTCAGTTTGTCTACGTGAAGAATGGTACAGCAGTAACACCCATGGGCCCAGCTCACCGTGCGGCCCTTCCCCTCAGGAACCCCCACTTAGGGTGCGCTGACAGGAGGACCCGAAAAACTGCCAGAGAGCCATGTATCGCAGTGAACTCTGAAGGAGGTGGGAAAGCGGGGCCTTCAGCTGGGAACTGTGGGTGGTTTCATTTTTTTTCTTGGTAGTGGGGCTGTAACCTAGGCCCTTCCCAGAGCTGCATTCTCAGCCCCTTTCATGTTTTTTTATCTTGAGACTAAGCTAAGTCACTAAGTTACCCAGGCTGAGCTCCAGTTTATCCTCCTGCCTCAGCCTCCCTAGTGCCTGGCAGAAGTGAACGGCCTCCAAGGCACCACGTGGTTTTGTTTTCTGTTTACTGCACTGAGGATGGAACCTACGCCTGCTAGACAGACAAGCGCTCACCGCTGAGCCGCACTCCGGCCCTTTTTTGAGCCTTGCTAAATAACTCAGGCTGGGCTCAAACCCCTCGATCCCCCTGCCTCAGCCTCCTGAGCAGAGTAGTTAGGATGAGAAGCAAACTCCCCCACCTGGGAAAGGCAGGCTCTGCCTGAGCGAGGCCTTCCTTAGGGCAAGGCGCCCTCTGCTGGCCAAGCACCACCGCACCGCTCTCCCAGCATCTCCAAAGGAGCTGCCTGCGGTGGGCGCCTCCATGTGCCTGCGTTTTTAAAACATTTTTTATTTATTTATTTTTTATTTATTTTTAAACAGGGCCTCACTGGCATAGGACTGTAATCCTAGCACTCGGGAGGCGGAGGCAGTTGGGTTGCCGCAAGTTTGAGGCCAGCCTGGGCTACACCGTGAGTTAAAGGCCAGCCTGAACTGCATACCAAGACCCAGTCTCAAAAAACCAAAAAAAAAAAGGTAAATTTAAAAAATAAAGACAGGCCCTTGCTGTGCAGCCTTGAACTCTGTTCAGCCGGTGCCCTCCGGGCTCCCCATGCGACCCCGCCTGCTGCCCACCACAGAGGGCAGATGCCAAACTCAGGTCTGAAGCCCAACAGCCCAAGCGCTGGGGACCTTCTGTGGGTCACTACTGCTCTGAGCCTCCGTTTCCCCGGGGAGCAGAATACCTGCTGCATCACACTGTTACACACATTCCGTGAAGGCCAGGCGGGGGGTGCACGCCTGTCATCCTAGTACTTGGGAGGCTGAGACAGGAGGATTGCTGCAAGTTTGAGGCCAGCCTGGCTACACAGGGAGACCCTATCTCCAAAAAAGAAAACCCCAGAAACAAAGCCACGTGTTCAACTGATAGGTGCACAAGCACCAGAGAATGAAGCAGTGCTCAGCCAGGACCCTGGGAGAGGAGCTGGGAGACCCTGCAGTGCAACACTTCTGCATCACCCGAATTTGCACACCCCTCTGGGATTCGCACAATAAATGAAAGTCAGTGGCCCCCACTGAGCAGGAAGGGGACCCGAGTTCCATTCCCAGCACTGAAAAGTTGAATTCAGACACAAAACCTCGAAACAAACCTTTCCTGAGTGTGCCTGAAACCTGTGATCCCAGCTATTTGGGAGGCTGAGGCAGGCGGCTCTTTTTTTTTTTTTTTTTTTTTTTTTTTTTTTTGAGACAGGGTCTCACTATGCAGTTCAGACTGGCCTTGAGCTTACTTTGTAGCCCAGGCTGGCCTCGAATTCACAGCAGTCCTCCTGAGGAGGCTCTTAGAGGCCAGCCTGGGATAATTTTTAGTGAGAACCAAGCCCAAAAGCAGGCAGACCTGAGATCTTCCAGTCTCTGGCTTCACCCTCCTCTCACACGTGCCAGCTCCTAGCATCCAAGGGGACCGGCGTCGGCCCCAGAAGGCCCTTGGCCTCGTGATGTGCCGGGCCGGGGTCCCTGCGGGGCTGGGCCCACTGGTGCCCCTCACTTGCCCACGCAGAAGTCCCGAAAGATGATGTCTAGGATCTCCTCGCTGCTCCCTCCGCCTGCGAGCTGGGTCAGGTGCCTCCGGGCGACGCGCAGGGCCTCCGCAGCCAGGGCCAGGTCTGCCTCCTGCCTGTAGCGGCCCAGCGCCTCCAGGCAGCGCTGCAGGTGGTGAAGGTGCCGCGCACGCGTCAGGAGCGGCGGGCCTGTGCTCGGGTCCCCGCACCTGGAAGGGACAAGAGCGGTCTCTCCAGACTGCAGAAGCCTTGCAAAGTGGGCAAGGTTAGGCCAGGCATAACACTGCACACCTATAATCCCTACACTCGGGGAGGCTGAGGCAAGAGGCTCTCCAGAATGCCAGCCCAGCCTAGGCAACTGGATGACTGGGCTGAGCCCCAGTACTCAGCAAATAAATAAAGCAGCGAGTTTACTCCACGATGCAGATGGAGACACAGGCGGGAGGTGGGCCAAACTCACAGGACAGCCAGCTCCTTCTTCAGGGCCCCCAGCAGGCCGTCCAGCCCCGCCTCGGTCAGGCAGGACAGCAGCAGGTGCGGGTGCGGCCCGGGCTGGAGGCGTGGGCCTTCGGCAGGCAGCAGATCACATTTGTTCAGCACCAGCAGCAGACGCTGGCTGCTCGCGCTGGGGTCCTGGCTCGCCAGGGGGGCCACGACGCTGTCCAGGAAGTCGCGGGAGGTCGGAGAGGCCAGGTCGGAGGCATCCAGCACGGCCAGAACCAGGTCGGCCTGCTCCAGCCTGGGGGCGAGGGAAGGGGGGGTGAGGGGCGGGGCCCGCCTGGGCAGGGCGACGCCCTCGCGGGGGACACTGGCCAGGTGAAGGCGCTCCCTGGAGGGAGGCGGCAGCCGCTCCCGAGGTGGGAGGAAGGCACAGAGACGCACCAGGGAGCGGACGCCCGGGCAGCCCCTTCCTCACCTCTGCCGGGCTCGCCGCACGCCCTCCTGCTCCACCGGCCCCACGCCCTCCCGCAGCCCCGCCGTGTCGCTCAGCAGTGCGGGGAACCCGGCCAAGTCCACAGGGATCTCCAGCACGTCACGGGTGGTTCCCGGCTCCGAGGACACGATGGAAACCGGCTTCCGGCCTGGGGGTCCGAGGAAGGGGTGGGCTGCGGCGGGGAGCGCCTGCACGCGCTCCCCTTGCGGGACAGCTCCGCCCCTTCCCGACCCCCGCCCCGGCCGGGCCGCCCGCCTCCACCTACTCAGCAGGTTCACCAGGCTGCTCTTGCCCGCGTTCGGGGGTCCTGTGACCACCACGTGCGCCCCCGAGCGGAGCCTCTGGCCGCGCCTGGCGTCCCGCAGGTGTGCGCCCAGTGCCACCTCCAGCGCCCGCACGTCTCGGTCGGCTGCGGGCAGAGGGCAGGGGCTCAGGGGCCTTCGGGGCGGCGCCGCCCGCGCCCGCCACCCCGGCCCTCGGCCCACCTCGCTCCAGGACGCCCTCCTCCAGGCTGTCGTCCTCCGAGAAGTCGATGTAGGCCTCCACGTGGGCCAGCGCCTGGCGAGGGGCACCGACGTGAGCACCCCGTCTTCCTCCGACCCCGGTCCAGCCAGACCCAGGAGGCCGCGCTGGCATCTCCGAGCAACGGAGCGGGGCCGGCGGAGACCAGGCGGCCCTGCGGTACCTGCCTTGGTGAGGGTCTCGGCCCAGCCGCGGGTCAGCTGGCCCAGCTCCCCGTGCAGCTGCCGCAGGGCCTGCCGCCGCTGCGCCTCCGTCTCCGCGTGGATCAGGTCGGCCAGGCCCTCCACCTCGGGCAGGCTCAGCTTGCCGTGCGCGAAGGCGCGCCTGGTGAACTCG